GAGAGAGAGAGAGAAAGAGTAGAGCGTTTTCTCTCTCGCAGGGACAATTACCGAATTTAAAAGGCATCGCATTACGTTACGGCGGCGGGATCTCGCGTTACCGTGCTAATATTTTTCCAGTCTAATTGCGCCCGTCGTCGTCGCGAGGAGCGTCGACGGCGCTGTATCCGCGCTTGATCTCAACGATCGCCCCATTTTTTTCCGCGCTCCGGAAATTTACTCGCCGGACCATCGTACACTTCACGCGCGTACACGAGATGCGCTTCGATCGCCACGGCCTTACGGAAAAAGAAATCTCCTGATATAATCCTGAGATCTATCGGTCTGATCGATCGGGTAAAAATTCGAGATATTTGTGAAAGTATAAATCGTAAAACGATGATTTTACGACGAAGGTTAAATGTCGCTCGCGTTTTTTAATAAAGTAATTCTTTTGGTAGATGCTTGACTTTAATATTTTCTGTATAGGAGCAGTGTAATTGACGTTTATTTTTTTTATTATTTGAGTTCTGCTTATACGTGTGATGATTAAAATCTGTCAAATTTGTTATTATTTGAAAATGTATATTTTTTTTTCTAGAAAATAATCTGAATAGAATTTTTCATGTGAACCGGGATTTGTGAATCAGGATTATATACCGATTTCTTCTCCTATCGGGCCGCGGCGGTCAAAGCGCATGCACGTTTCGACGTGAAGCACGATCTCGCGAATAATGTATGACGTGCGTCGTCCGCGTGACGTTTCTACTGCACGGGGAAAAATAACGCGACGCGTCACGATATTCTTGACCCGATGCATACCCGATGATCGCATTAAATATACAGAGTGCTCGGTGCATTTCTGCCGCGCCCCTCTATCGCTCCGTTTCTGTTTACCATTGATAAATAACCCGACGCGTCGCGACGAGTGACAAGCATTTTTTGAACTTAGACCGCATCCTGACTCCGTAGGATCTATTTAATATTCATCCTTCAGACGATGTCTCTCATTAGACTCCACGAAGTGTAAATACTTTTACGTTATAGAAGCGAATTCGTAATTCTTTAATTGTCTCGTTAAGGGAGACCTTGAACTTCGTTGAACGTATTTAATCATTACAGCTTCCATGAGCTCAATTAGAAAAAAAAAAAGGAAATCAATTGCTCGCATCCTTCTGGTGAGAGAGACGCGTAGGCGATGCGGCCTGGCGAAGGGAAACGACGTTGCTCTTGAATCCTCGACGGACGATCGGTCGGAGCGCTTGTTAAAGTGAATTATTGACGCTTGCGGAGTCATCTTTAATTTAAAAAAAGCACCTGGCGCGCGGCCTTTCGGTCAGGTTTCACGGTGATAAGTCTTCCGCCTCACGTGATAATCGTGAGATTCAAATTTTTCGATCACCAAAGTCCTTTCCTGCAAGTGGAAGCGCAGAAATCCGCGTCGAAAACGCGACGATTCACGACGATTACACTCGATTTATCACGCGTTATCCACGCGTTAAATTTGCTATTCGCGCGCGCGGATTATGACATCGCGTATTTGCATGCCGTTGCATGATATTCGCAATGATATGTGTGCGCTGGTATTGTGATACCGCGTGTTAGCCGCATTAGTTGACGTCTCGGCGGTCTGCGTGTTATTTGCGTTCCTTTAATATCTCATCCGTTCGGGTGGTAATTTACATAAGCACATTCGAAGAGTCTCTAAGCGTTTCAAGCTGTCGTTTAAAAGCAAGAGTC